CCAGAGACGCAATCCAATCACTTTTCGTGCCCGTTGTCCTTTCCTATAGTCGACATGAAATCCCAGCCTCCTGAGCCCCTCATGATGCTAATGATGCACTCATGGCAGTCAATTACATCACTTGCATCACAGCACCCCAAAAACCATACATGTTCAATCCCATTCTGGCCACAGTCCTTTTCGCTCTCCCCACCAGGCTCTGTGTTCGGCCTCCTAAATTGCACTTCCTGCACCCACCCCCCCCACAACCCCTATACTCACTTCGTTCGCCCATCCCAACTCCAGCCTAGCCTATCCGCTGGCTTTCCTGAAAAAAATAAGGAAGAAAGGTCTAATATAGTGTGCTATTAAGTTGGAGGCCATCTCTACTTGGTTGAAGGCCATGGCTTCTATGTTGGAGGCCATTGCTATTAGGTTGGAGGCCATCGCTACTTGGTTGAAGGCCACCGCTTCTATGTTGGACCATTGCTAGTGGGTTGGAGGCTATCGCTAATAGAAACAATCAATAAAGAAAAGGAAGAAAGATCTAACATAGCTTGCTACTAGCTTGGAGGCCATCGCTACTTGGTTGAAGACCATCGCTTCTATGTTGCAGGCCATTGCTAGTAGGTTGAAGGCCATCGCTAATAGAAACAATCAAAAAAGACAAGGAAGAACTGTCAAATATAGCTTGCTATTAGGTTGGAGGCCATCGCTGCTAGGTTGAAGGCCACCGCTTCTATGTTGGAGGCCATTGCTAGTAGGTTGGAGGCCATCGCTAATAGAAAACATCCAAAAAGAAAGCAAGAATGCTCTGATATTGTGTGCTATTACGTTGAAGCCATCGCTACCTGGTTGAAGGCCACCGCTTCTATGTTGGACCATTGCTGGTGGGTTGGAGGCCATCGCTAGTAGAAACAATCAAGAAAGAAAAGGAAAAAAGATCAAATATAGTGTGCTAGTAGGTTGGAGGCCATCGCTAATAGAAGCAATCAAAGAAGAAAAGGAAGAAAGGTCTAATATAGTGTGCTATTAAGTTGGAGGCCATCTCTACTTGGTTGAAGGCCATGGCTTCTATGTTGGAGGCCATTGCTATTAGGTTGGAGGCCAGGCCATCGCTAATAGAAACAAAGAAAAAAATTGAAGAACTGTCTAATATAGCTTGTTACTAGGTTGGAGGCCATCGCTACTAGGTTGCAGGCCACCAGTTCTATGTTGGAGACCATCCCTAGTAGGTTGGAGGCCATCGCTAATAGAAACAATCAAAAAAGAAAAGGAAGAACGGAAGAACTGTCTAAAGTGTGCTATTAGGTTGGAGGCCATCGCTACTTGGTTGAGGGCCATCGCTTCTGTGTTGGAGGCCAACGCTATTAGAAACAAAAAAAACAGAAAGGGAAGAAAGGATAGTGTTCTAGTAGGTTGGAGGCCATCGCTACTTGGTTGAAGGCCATCGCTTCTATGTTGGAGGCCGTTGCTAGTAGGTTGCAGGCCATCGCTAATAGAAACAATCAAAAAAAGAAAAGGAAGAAGGATTGGTTTCATGTCCTCTGGCTCGTCGACACAGCCCTCAACAACGGGCAAGATGTCTAAAAGGAAGCCCTGCTGCCTGCAGAATGTCACGGCAAATGATTGGGATCAGGCCAGCAGTCATGTATGTTTGGGGGGGGGTAGAGGACGCTACTAGGAGCAAAGGGCATCGCTACTAGGAAGAAGGACGCTACTAGGGGCTCTTGGCCATACTACTAGGAACAAGGAGCTACTAGGAGCAAAGTGCATCGCTAGTAGGAACAAGTGCCGTACTACTAGGAACAAGGAAGCTACTAGGAGCAAAGTGCACCGCTAGTAGGAACAAGTGCCTTACTACTAGCAACAAGGAAGCTACTAGGAGCAAAGTGCATCGCTACTAGGAACAAGTGCCTTACTACTAGGAACAAGGAAGCTACTAGGAGCAAAGTGCATCGCTACTAGGAACAAGGACGCTACTAGGGGCTCCTAGCCATACTACTAGGAACAAGGAGCTACTAGAAGCTTTTGTGAGTTGTCCTCCAAGAACACCAAACTCCAATAAGGCCCTTTTTGATCTACATTGTTCAAGTCTGACAAAGAAGCTGGCAATGTTCTGCAAACGTTGTAAAGTTGTAGCTTGTCAATTTCAATCCTGCAAAACAGATCTGCGTTAACTTGCATCAAATGGGCTGAGCCCAAATGGTGTGTGTCCCATCAAGGCATGCTGAATTTCACTATTTGAATAAACAAATGTCGAGCTGCATAAAGCCCTACTTCCTCTCTCTCCTTCTCTATCTCAAAAAAAGATTGTAACACATGTGTCGTTTGTTTCAACGCTACACAATGCACAACCTAGGCCTAACACCTTCTACACCTGCTTCTCCGAATGAAACCACCCCGCCTTTGCTTCGCCCCAAGGAGCCTGAGGAATTGGCCTTTGCGACACCATTGAAAGTCCGGGAAGGGTAGGCCTTGTTACTACTACTAGCGATGCACTTGTTACTGCCGTAGAGGGAGGTAGTAGCATGTTTACTAATAGCTTCTTGTTGCTACTAGTAAGGCACTTGTTACTACTAGCGATGCACTTGTTACTGCCGT